CGAAGATGTTTTCGATTACTTTGGCGAACTCATATTTGATGTGAATTGCCCCACGTAATGCAAATGTCTGGTTTGAAGTGGTGAATATTTATTTGACGTTGACTGGAAAGCAACGTTTTTCTGGTCTGTGAGAATGCGGAAATCTCCCCCTTCCAGCAAATGTCGAAAATAGTAAAACATCTGAATAAAAGCCGCAAGGAGCCACTGTGCAAATGTACAAGACATGGCCTCTATTAGTGACAGTTCTCGCAAGAAAAAAAAAGGAAATTGATTTCAACTGTCTGTCGATTTTCTGTGGCAAGTTAGCATCTAATCCCATGCCAAGCGGCATCGACCAACAATATCATGCCTGAAATAATATAACAATGTAACCATATAGGCCAATAACTGATTTAATTTTATGTAATATTGCCATTGGATAATCAGTGTGAAGTATAACAAAAATTTGGTCATTAGTTAAAATATCTGTCAATAGTTTCACTATCGGCTTGGGAAGAAATCTACAGAAAATTATCATCTCTAAAAATCGCCGAAATTTCCTCATGATATTAGGTTCAGGGAATTGTTTGGTTTGGTTTGTCATGTTTTACGACATATCAACCTCAATGAGTTATTTAATGCCGACTAGATTTTTATTGTTGGTAATATTTTTTAATTGTATTGTTGGTAATATTTTTTCCAAAAATGTACTGTTGGTAATATTTTTTTTTAAAATATGTATTGCTGGTACATTATTTACATAATTCAGACTATTGTCCACATCATATTTATTACAACGTTTCGGCCGTTGTACGCTCCGGCCTTATTCAAGAACACATGGCACAGTGGATAAAGGCGTTAGTTAGATCCAGTGACAGCGCCCAAAGAGTATGAGTTCAATACCCGGTTAAGGCAGTGGAGAACTTTCAGAGGGAAATTAACAGGAGATAACTGATAACTGACATCGATTAAACATGTCACGTGGAACTAGAACAGTCTACCCCAGTGAGCGAACTAAAGGCTTCAGTTTGACATTCCAACCACCTGAAGAAGGCAGGAGCGTACAACGGCTGAAACATATGAAATATGGCGACAAAGATGAAGACAATAGTCCGAATAATGTAAATAGTATACATAATACCTCATCTCAGAAATATAGACAGACACTGAAAGGCCGAAATGTTGTTATAAATATGGCGACAAAGATGAGGACAATAGTCCGAATAATGTAAATAATCTACATAATACCTCATTCAGAAATATAGACAGATACTGAAGGGCCGAAACGTTGTAATAAATATGGCGACAAAGATGAGGACAATAGTCCGAATAATGTAAATAATGCACATAATACCTCATCTCAGAAATATAGAAATATAATGAAAAGCCAAAACGTTGTAATAAATATGGCGACAAAGATGGGGACAATAGCCCGAATAATGTAAATAGTGTACATAATACCTCATCTCAGAAATATAGACAGATACTGAAAGGCCGAAAAGTTGTAATAAATATGGCGACAAAGATGAGGACAATAGTCCGAATAATGTAAATAGTGTACATAATACCTCATCTCAGAAATATAGACAGATACTGAAAGGCTGAAACGTTGTAATAAATACGACGACAAAGATGAGGACAATAGTCCGAATAATGTAAATAATGTACATACTACCTCATCTCAGAAATATAGACAGGTCTTGCTGGTAATATTTTTTTCAAAAATGTACTGCTTGTAATGTATTGATGGTAATAATTTTTTCAAAAAACAACTATTTTTATACTTTCATAGTGTTTTGACCCCTTTTAGGTGGGGGGTAAATACTTGCCCATAGCTGGAACCCTAACAGGTGCTACCACCCCGGGTCAAAGTGTACCTAGGAACACCAGCAAGGAAGAGGTTGTTCCACGCTCCTCAAAACCTTCTGTTCGATGGACTTTGGACGTTGGATGTAGCTTATCGTCTTACCCAGGACGCGGATGTAGTTTATCGTCATACCCAGGAGGGGCAGATATTTGTGAAATATTTAGAAAGTACGGAGGGAATTCCAGCAGATATGATGTGGTGACCTAAGAAAACCAATTCTGATTTTCCAAATTTCCACTTCACTGGGTTGATATCAATGCCAAATATCTGAAATCGTTCGAAAGCGAGTTGTAACTGCTATATATGCTCCTATATGGAGGAATTGTCTATCGAAAACATCACTAGTGTCAGAGATAAAATGTAGGCCAGGCAATGTATGGTTAATATATATTTGTAAGGGTTGCGGTGCGTATCTGTGTCCAAACTGGACACACAAGTACATGAACAAACAAAAATTAGTTGCTATTGCAGTGCTCAGAATATGCCCGAGATCGACCCCAATTTGAGGGTATCATCTGATACGGCGTCATTTTATAAATATCAGCATCCCTTGCAAAATAACTGTTACATTGTGTATATAGGTAATAAAGTAGCGACCCAGTTTTGAAACGTTATTTAATAATCTATAATAATGACGTGTACACTGTGTGCAGCTATTTATGGCTACACAGTGCAATGGAGATGACCGGTTGCCTTTGAATGAACGTATTATTCTTAAATCTACCATTTCGCTAAATTCAGCTACCCTTGGCTTTTTCTAGTTCCATCTACAAAGCCAGCTAGGAACACGGAGTTCATTAATGACAATATGGTATGTAATAGGGTAAATAAATGTTTCATTAGGGAAGGATGGCTTTTTACTACACTGTAACGTCACTAAAAATTCAGGGTTCTAGCGGTGATAGCGGGACTATATTGTGAATAGATACTGGTGTTATAATAATGTTGGCTTCAGGATCGCTCTAACAACGTCTGTTGATCTCAATAATAAGGCCATATTCATATTCTGACGCTAATCTGGATTTCTCTAGATCCACAATAATGAAAAATGTGTTAAATCCCTGGTTAAGCCTAACTTGTTAAAGAAGTCCTTTTACCCTATTCCTTTTAGTAGCAGGGATTATTGAAATTCGCCCGTCACCATCTGCAAGAAAATTGATGAGAGTAGTGGAGCTATTCATAAACAATGAGCGATAGACTTCTCCCAAACTGGCACACAGAATTGAGTTGAATGAGTAGAGTGGCCTGCAATGGCAAACTTTATCCCTAACCCTCATGTGTAAATAAATGAAAGGGTTTATTTTTATTTTTTTCCCTTGAACGATGAAAGGAACGACATTATCTGTGTATCACGTAGTTGTGCAAATTTACCGGTAAATTTCCCCGTAAATTTACATGTAGATTTACACGTAAATTTACCCTTAAATTTGCCCGTGAATTTATCCGTTCTCCTGGTTAATTCTGCTATTCTTCTGCAAATTTCTGCTATGTTTCTAAAATGTTAATCACGGTTTCTGAATCCAAATTCCGCATGCCAGATATTGACGCCATGTTGGTGGAAGTGAAACCCGGTATAATTTCCGCAATCTTCACCAACTTCTATCGCAGTATGAAAATTTAGAGGCGGATACTGGAGGAATATATGTCACAGAAACTATTGAATATGATCTCTCCAGCTAAGTTTTGCAGGTGCGTAGAAATTGCAATCATTTCCTGCCTGCTCTAGTTTCCTCGTTGAGGAGTTGACAGCTTTTTACTTTAAGAGATATAAGTCCTCGTAACAATTTAGTCTCTGGAACTATTATTAGAGTTTACCATGGGTAGTGAAATAGTTACCTACAAAATTTTCAGGGCTTGTTCTTTACTTTCAAAATTGCCAAATGTGACTTTCTTTTTTTATGAGGTAATCCCTCTCGGTTCGAAACCCTACTCAATTTGGCCAAAATATAATGTAGGGTTTGCTTTATTTGATTGTGGGTTAATTTCACTCAGGATGGGGCCGGCTGAAGAAGGGAATGGCAGATATGCATTTTTATCAAAATACATTTTATATATCACTAACAGACAAGAAGTTATATATACAAACATGGATAAACGTGTCAGTGTTTGAGAACAGCCAGGTCGGTGGTGTTTGTTGTGTTCCTTGGTGGGTCCATGTGCTTTTTTGTTTGCCTTACCACTGGACTATTATGACAACTAACTTCTTGACGGTCACCCTAGTTATTGACCTCACTCACCCGCCATAATTACCCAAAATTATATAATCACCCTCAGCATACTTACACCATGCTATTGCAAAATTCACCCCAATTAACAAGTCTTTCTAACGGTCCACATGAAAATTTGGCGCAGAATATATAACTAGAATATTCATCCCTGTTTCAGCCTATTTGAATGCTAGCCACCATATTATGACTCCAAAAACGAAGTAAACCCTTGTATTTTCGCATCTTACTTTGCGGCTTCAATAGCTGGTCGTATTTATTTTATGTACATTTATATTAGTTCTTTTTGTAGTGGAAAAGCCGCCTACGTGTGCGTTTTTTACTTTTCGCGAACACCGAAAAAAACTTCTTTCGCAGACATTTTTTTTTCATATTTGAATTATGAATGTAGTTTCTATTATAATTTGAAAGAAAATTATCGTCCATATTTTATCTGGCGCCTACTTTCTCAGCTTGTTATAGAAATAGTCTAATCGTTGTCCTGTTATTCGAAAAGTTATAAACGACGTCTAAAAACTTTTGGTCACTCGTCATCCTCTCATCAAAATTTATGTAATTTTTTTTTATTCGCAAATATTTAATTTTTCTACTTTTATTTGAAGTAAAACAAAAAATCTCATTATCATTCATATTTGTCTGAATTTTGTTCCCGAAGCTTTTATTAAAGCCAGAGACGTAAAAAAAACTTTACCTTTTCGTTTTTGCTTTTTCAATGGTTTATTTCATTTTTATTTCGGCATGATTTTTACTTAATAATTTTTTTTTTACTATAAGTTGTTTCATATTTTTAATTCTTCCTCCCATCATATATTAATCGTTTGTGATTTTAAAAAAATGGAAACAAAAAAAGCCCAAAATGAACATGGTAATGTTGAGAGTGAAAGAAAAGGCGAATGCGAATTAATCTGATGATGAAAATAAAGAATGAATCATACACCGAAGAAGTCGAAAGAAAGAAATGTCAGTCTAATGAGAAAAGATAAAATTATAAAGTAAAAAAGAAAGAAGGGAATGAGTAAATGAAGGGGAAGAATTAATTTGCTAACGCTAAAATGGAAATGAAGAAGAATCGCAGAAAACTGAAGAATATGAAGAGAATTATAAAAGAAGAAATGGTAAAAATGAAAACGTGCAAATAATAAGTAAGAAAAGAAAGAGTTGGTGAAGAAGAAGAAGAAGAAGAAGAAGAAGAAGAAGAAGAAGAAGAAGAAGAAGAAGAAGAAGAAGAAGAAGGCGGCATGTGTCTCTAAACAACACGAGAATGAGGTTACGCTGACGAGACAAGATTTGAAATCGGTGGGAAAATAAAATAAAAAAGAAGAGGTCAAGTTATTTATGAAAAGCTAATTAACAAAAAAATCACAATAGAATTTTTTCCTCTTCCAAACCTAATCAAAATGATTAACTTTTTTTAAATCGAGGAATATTCAAATAAAACTCCACAAAAAGTTACTAAAATTAATGAATATTCTCGTTACAATCAATTCTAATTAAGATGGAGACGCGTACATCATCATAAGTTTACGGCTCACAAAAATGTAATTATAAAAATAAATGCAACATTAAAACAAAGAAAATTTTAAAGATTTTGTTTTGAGGTGGAATTTGAAAATTATAATTTATTTGATTATCTTTATATTCATTTAATTTTAAGTAAATTCTCTTCATCAACAAAAAAAACATCAGAACAGATGTAATTATCATTGAATAAAATTCAAAGAAAAACCAAAACCTGAAAATCATGAAATATTTTTCGATAAAACTAACAAAATTGTGTCAGATGAAAGTGACAGTTGTACTCATCATTATCAGTGAAATTTGAAGAGTTCAAAATATTTCCGCAAAAGGTGTTACAGAAACTGGAATTCGAACACATCCAGACGTGACCTTTGTTTAAATCGGAAGGAACAGTGACAAGAATGCTGTCCAATATGGCGATTATGTCGTTGATTATATTTCCCAAGGAAATACAAGCAACACAGTAATTCCACATAATAGAAAGAAAAAGATAACTATTTTATGTCATAATATGGAATCTCTTAGAACATTCAGCCTGAAAAGAAGAAAAGAATTGGTTATTAAGTAACAATTGGTAATCAAAAATGAGAATAAATAGAAACAATTGAACAACCGAAATAGTAAATTTTCAGGAGGCATACTGGACCACATAAAATCAAGTAGCGATTTGTATGTTGCGTAAAGTTTAATTATTGTTTTTTACGGTTTATAAGACTTTTGCAGGTTATTTAAGGGCAGAAAATGTTTTTAGATTGTATCATTTTTTTTTAGGAGATAATGACTTTCGCTGATACAAATCCAACTTTTCCAAGGGTATTTGCGCACAAGTGAATATAACAAAATCATACTAGAATTTGAACTCAGTACTCCGATTTCCAATTCTGAGCCTTTATCCATTACACACTCCGCACATCCCATTTTATATTCCCAAACGGCCAGCCGCGAGGTAATATCTGAAAAGAGAAATTTGATTTCTAAGCGAGTTCGTTATAAAAATAGTTGGGGAACATATAAATTTATGTCCTTTCTATCCAGTCGTGTGTTAAATAGCAGAGAATTTTCAGCTGTTACAAGGCCCAAGAGCCAGTCAGGTTAGAGGGATACGGAATGAGATTGTTAAATATAAGTAAGAAGTGTTATGAAAGTATATAGATAGCTGCAAACCCTAAACTAGAAGAGATTACGATTTTATAGACCGGGATTGGCTGAGATTTGTTGCCTTGAGGTGACAACCAGTCTAGGAGAAGGAAATATAGTGAATTCAGTATCAGCTTGACACAAGATGCCTCCAACAGCTATAATGGGTCACGTGACGCATAACATGACCTGGACACCAAGATGGAGGATGAAATGAAACGATAAAGCTGTTTCTTGGTAGGAAACTATCGTCTTTCATTGAGCGAATACCCAGGAGTACTGTCGGTTGAAATTTATAACCGATTTCTATCAAAAAATATATTACGAAAATAGCTTTCTTCAAAGTTAAGAAACCTTTTTAATATTTTGATTATTTTTCAACTGACATTATTATCTTTTCGAGTTGATACATCCATTTTGGTTGTTGTTGCCTATGAAAGTCTATCAAGTGATGTAGTTCCTTTTATTTAGTAAAGTGAATTTGATGATTATATAACGCCAGTCCATAAGAATCGAAGAAGGATGGACCAAGAATTACAGGCTCATTCCCTGGAAGTAATCTTTAATCATTGACCTAAGAAACCTGTTGCACACAGCGAACAGATTAGAAATTTCGGACTGAGCTGAACAATATTCATGGCATTCATGTAAGAGTCTATAACTGATGAGGTTATGACCCCTGTTCTTAGTTTAATGTGGGATTTGTTTTTTTGTTTATTTGGTTTGTTTTTGTTTTTTAGTTCTTTTTTTTTCTAAACACCATACCACCTCCTTATGAGAGCAGTGCTCGGTGTTTTATGAACAACTGAATTTTCTGTATTGTAAATATAAAATTTTGTACATAAAATAAACATAATATATATATATATATATATATATATATATATATGTGTGTGTGTGTGTGTCCATTTATATATATATATATATATATATATATATATATATATATATATATATATATATATAAAGAAAAAAATTATGAATTCTGTATGTTAAATGAACACAAAAAGGGAAAAAACATACTCATCAACTTCAAGTTATATGGCAAATATTCACAGCTAATTATAATATATATTAGTTTTGTTATTATTTGCATATATATATATATATATATATATATATATATGTGTGTGTGTGTGTGTGTGTGTGTGTGTGTGTGTGTGTGTGCAGATATGTAGAAAAAATAGGAAAAGAACACGTTAGGTGAATAATCCGGAGTTCTTTTAGTATTTTTAAAAAACAGTCCTCCATACATTGTTAAGTACGAAACAACTCTTTTTTTAAAAAAAAAATAAAATAAAATAAATAAATAAATGAATAAAAGGATAAATAAATAAAATAAAACAAAATTCTCTTAACGACATATTATGGTGCCAAAAGTAATCTTTCGTTTTGACTGACCAGATGATGTACGCACATGAATGCCATCATTCGCCTTGAAATGGATGCCCCCACCCTATCTCAGCTTGAGTTCTTTCTGAAGGGGATTGAAAATATTCGTTCTTTGACAGGATTCGAACCTGCATCCTATACTGTCAAAGAACGAATATTTTCTATGAAAATTTCTCGGACATTCAGGCCGGTAAATGTTATTTAATACTGTTTATCATAAACAGAGCATTTGCTTAAATACTTGTATCTATAAATAACAACGTTAAACATAAAAATGTCTTTAATAAATAAATTGTCGGACCTTGTCCATTTCTTATATATATATATATATATATATATATATATATATATATATATATATATATATATATATATATATATATATATATATATATATATTTATATATATAAAAAAACGTTAATATTCATTCAAACTTTTAGAAACTTTCTGTAGAAGCAAAATGACCATATAAATGGGCTAAAATTGAGTTCAGTTTTATTTAATTGATATATATATATATATATATATATATATATATAAAATAATGAAAATTTGGTAATCCGTATGGATAATCCCAATGAGGATGTAATTCAGAGAGCCCAATTCAACCATGTCTGTCATTCTCCTAGTCCCCCCTCTCTCCATGTCACCTTACATCAACTGAAAACTACCCCTCAAATGTGGATAAAAACTATGTGTAAATTTAGAACATTTTTCCACCCTTGGTAGTGGGGTCTGATGAACCAGGTAAAAACCATATACCTGGGAAAATAAATTATACCCAGTGGAAACTTAAGGTTGTCTGTTTACTATGTTTTAAGGTAAAATTGAATTAATCCACACACACACACACACACACACACACACATATATATATATATATATATATATATATATATATATATATATATATATATACACACACACAAAAGAACGGTAAAAAATTTTAAAAAAAACACGTATATACCGACACATAGATTATGTATATGAATTATAGTAAATATTATCGGCCATTCCTGGATTATGATGTCGTATAAGGCTACATGATGGATTCTACTTATTTGGGAAGCCTGATGAATCGTTCACTGACTGTCCTCATAAATGTATTCACCATTTTCGTGAACTTAATTGTTGCTCTGTTACTTTATACGTGAACTCCAGATTTTACCATATTTTCTGGCGTTTTACTGTTGATTCATCGTCTTAAACGCTCAACAACCTGTGAAGATATTCAACCATTCTTGAAAATTGCTTGCCGCTCAAAGACCAGTGTTTGAACGAAATAATGTTTGCTAAAGGTTTACCGAAGTATTTCAAGTGCCTTGATACTAGATATACTAAGCCTCACGCTAGATTTGATCCAGTCTAGGTGTAAAAATCCTTTAGCTATCGTAAATATTGAAGAGACGTTTCCAAACAATGTTGTTTAAATTCGAGTAGGAATTGAATACACTTGATATGTATAGAATCATTGATATGTTTTTTTACGGCTTATAAACATTCTGCAGGTTATTTAAAGACAGAAAATATTTTTGGATTTTAAAAAAAATCGTGAGAACCGAAGGGGGATAATAATAATAATAATAATAATAATAATAATAATAATAATAATAATAATAATTTACAGATACATGTCCTATTAATTAACCAATAGCTGGGGGTGAAGATGTGGATTCATACCTTTCTCAAGGGCTTTTGAACATAAGTGAAGATATACAACCCAAATAGAATTGGAACTCGGCTCTCTAATTAAGGGTCGTAATCATATCGAAGCTAACAGCAAGTGGTCATCTATCTAGGTACTGACCATGCCCGCCGTTCATAGTGTTTAAGCGGGATATGGTTGTTAGCATAGATAGATAGATAGATAGATAGATAGATAGATAGATAGATATAGTGAGGGAGAGAGAGAAATATTTGTTCACAGTGCAGTAGCGCTCGCTCTACACGTTACATATGATACCACTTTGATCCGACTCAGACTTTGATCTCTCTGTAAAAGACCAGTATGCATCCAACGGAATACTGACTAGCAGGTGGACAGCACATGGTTCTTCATAATGACTGAGATCGTCGAAAGGACTTGAACAAAAATAACAGAACAGATATGAACATCGGACAGTTTATCCACAATTTCGATCCTAATAGGCAACATCTTATTCGGAAATTGGAAAAATGCAATAAAATATTCAACAGACAGACGTGTCGGCTGAATTTAATAATGCTTTCTTTGATGAATACTGGGTACTTAAACATACCTTACATATATACATTTATGCACACAAACAAACACATAGATAGATAGATAGATAGATAGATAGATAGATAGATAGATAGATAGATAGATAGATAAGAACAGCCTGAGATCGATAGGAACAACCATCGATAGATAGATAAGAACAGCCATAGATAGATAGATAGATAGATAGATATAAATGTTAATATAAACTAAATAACAAGATATTTGCAACTCAATATGCGTACTATAGCTTGCATATGCAGATAAACAAATATTTATTTTATTTAATTTATGGTACAAACAAGACAGTGCTCAATGTCGTTAAACAGAGCTATGAAGTATATATTAATAAATACACATACCTACGTTTGTAGTACAACTTAAGTTTTATGGTTTCCGACTTCGTCAAGTATATATGGTAATTGAACTTCTTATTACAGTTGTTTTTTTAATACTGTTTCTCATGGGAGGAACGCTAAATTATATTCAGATTCAAAGCTCAAAGTTATATATAAACCCAATTTATTATTGGGGTGTAAATTCAAAATACAGAGTGTATGGAGGGAGATACCGGTACATATATATATATATATATATATATATATATATATATATATATGTGTGTGTGTGTGTGTGTGTGTGTGTGTGTGTGTGTGTGTGTGTGTGTGTGTATAGTATATATCTGTGTGCATGTGTGTGTACGTGTATGGAGGTGCGTCGCTATGTGTGTGTCTTGATGTGGGTTCGTATGGAAGCCTATATATGCAAAAAAGTACTTTTATTGTTTCTATTCTGTTTTCTATTTGTGTTTAGTTCCACCAGTTCTAACCTTCCGGTTACGAACCGCCATGCCTCGAACACTGCAGAGAACCACACTTATACCCTTCGAATTTCATTGGTCCCACTCGATCAGGTTCTCTCCACGCTACCTTGTGGAACAGACACTGAAAAGGACGCTTTTCCGTTCATTGTAATCTTAATATGTTCAAATCTAGTGCCACCTGTTGTCTTCCCCCAAAACTGTCTTTTTTGTTGTAACATTACCACGTGTAGTTCTCGGTCATTGAAATGGGTGAACGTCACAGTAAAAATAAAATGCTTGTTTAACGTCAGTGTTCGACTCGTTTTCAGGAAATTAAGATTTGTTGTTGTGAAGAAATTCAGGTATTTAGATTTGTATGACAACCACTTTTATTCTCCTTTTCATTGTATTTTTAAAAAAGATTTTCTTCTATTCTTGGCAAATCTCTGATAATTCGTATCTAAAACCAAAATCTTTATGCTGTATCTAAGAGAATTTCCATAAATATATAATCAACTTTGTGATAAAATATTATTTAGTATTTACAACCTTCTACTTCTGGTTTTTTCATTCATTACCTACTGCTGAAAGCTGATATTTCACTATACTTTATTGTAGAATATATATTAAAATAATTATGTGCTTTTTTAACAATAGAAATAAAACGCCATTGATTTGCGTCTAAGACAAATTTGGATACTCGCAGCAAAAAGAAATAACTAAAATAAAATACATTTAAAAAATAAATATATCTTCTCTCAATCACGTTTCATATGCCGGTGTATCTTTTCGAGGGCGACCCCCACATTTTAAATAGCTAATCAATTCTCGACAGCCTGTCGCCCAATGGCGAAAAACCTTCTTTGATGACAACGCAGTTACCCGGCATCCAATTTTAACGGGTCAACTCTTAGGAGATCTTTTGTGATTTTATCCCTCCTTTAAAGCTATTTGGTTAGAAAGCAAACGTGTGGCGCAGCCAAACGCTTTCTGGCGCTATTTCTACAAAAAGAATCACAAGTGAAAAAGACTGGAATTCTTCTGAACTGCCATTAACAGTCTCCGATAATAATGGGGCGCCATTTTTATTCTCCAGATTTGGCCAATATTTAGTTTCCTTCCACGATTGTTGTTCTTTCTGTTTCGTTTGTCGGGATTTTTGTTTTTTTGTCTTTCCTTAGAGGAATTTTTTTTTTCATAGCTTGATTTTTGTTTATTTTCTACTTCAGATTTTCTTCTGTGAATTCCTATTTCTTTACAATTATTATTTTATTTTTTTTTATTCATTCTTATCCAGATATAAAAAAAAGTCTAGACTTCTTTAGTGGATAGAACCCTTACGCCTACATTTGTAATCAGATTGTTTTTTTTTCTTTTTTAATATTCTGTTATCTCTTCCACTTATATTCCTTATTTATCTCTCTCTCTCTATCTCTCTCACTCTCTCTCTCTCTCTCTTTCCATCTGACGTTCTACTTCTTTTTCTCTATCTATCTACCCAACCTCATATATACATATGAAAAGAAAGGATAAGACATAGACCAAGTTAGATATAGATATATTTCAGTGATTTCTAAATACATATATAAAATTGCGTAGATTGGATATTATACTGTAAAATGTTAAAAAAACAATCGCCTATTACCTTATATACTCTTTTACGATCAGTCATTTTTGCGCTAAAAAATAGGAGATTGCGTTATAAGGCAGGTACAGTTTTGAAGAGGTTAAAAATCATGCATTTTCGGTGACCAGTTGTACTATACACAGGTAATATTATGCCGGCGTGGTTAAAATATATGCAAAA